TTTTTGAGTGATTTTCAGTACTTTTGAAGCTATTTTTGTTGCACGATGAGGTGTGGATGTTCGGAAGAGACGAAAAAGTGTCATCAGCAAGTACGGGGGTGCTCCGTACTGATCCAGCAGACCCCGTATTGCGTGAAGCAGGCCCATGTACTGGGTTAGTAAAAGGAGTTAGTAAAAACCAAAGAGGGCCAGGTGGACTTAGTAAAAGGAGTTAAAAATTGTGATTTTGGAGGATAAGCATAAGGAAAGTGACGTGGCCAGGAAGGAAAGGATATATTATGCAGTGTTCTAGAAGTCGCTAGGCGCCCGCTAGGCGCCCGACCAGCGCCTAGCGCCTAAGGGGCCTAGGCGGGGCCTAGGCGGGGCCTAGAAATTATAATAAATATATTATTTTTTATTTATTTTCATAATTTCACTAATAAAATTATAACTTATAATTAATAAATTCATACACCTAAGTCCCAAACTTTTAAATTTCTACTAAGTTCTCATTGTAATTTTATCAACCACATTATCTACATCTTATGTTTTAAACATTACACAACATAATAGAATTATAGCAACCAACTAAACACCATATTTCACTAACCACAGCAACTAATCATCTAATTAAATTAACAGAAATAATAATACAATAAAACAAATGAATAACAGAATAAGGAATAAAAAAGCAATCAACCATCAACTATGGTTAAAAGCAATAGAACTGACACGTGTAGCTTTCATTAACTTATTTTTAATTTTTAATTTGTGGTTGGAAAGAGAAAATTTCACCACTAAAGTTGACAGCTGTGGTGTAGTTTTTAAAAAAGCAATCAACCATCAACTATGCTTAAATTCACTCACCAGTCACCACTCAACTAACCAAACATTTTAATTAACCAAAAAATATCTGATTTCAGTCACCACTCAACTAACCAAACATTTTAATTAACCAAAAAATATCAGATTTCTAAATCAGTAAATCGTGACCTAGCCCCCAAATATCCAATTTCTCATCTTCGCCTCGCTACATTTCCGCCGGTCTCCGCCCTTATCCCCACATCTCCGGTCGTCTGTGCCCGACTCCTTCCATTTCCGGTTGTCTTGGTTTGTGTCCAGCCCGTCTCCGCCTGTTTTGTCTTGGCTCCGGCCTTCTATGCTTGACGTTGGTGCCGATTTCTGGTCGTCTCTGTCCGCCTCCTCCGTGGTTGTTCGTCTCCCCCGTCTCTGTCCGCCGGTTTCCGCCGGTCTCCGCCCGTAGTCTCGCCGAGCCGCGTAGACCGCCTAGAGCCGCCGAGGCCGCCAAGAACCGCCTAGACCCGCCTAGGCGCCGCCGAGCCCGCCCGGCCGATTCTAATGGCCGATTTGCCCAAATCGTCGGCGGCTTACCGGCGCCGAGCGCCTAGGCGGCGCCTAGGCGGCCGCCTAGGCCGACTTTTCGAACACTGATATTATGGAGACTTTTGCTTTTGAGGGATTATTCCTTTTTCCACACACATTGCGGCGGGACTTGAACAGAGAGGGGGACCGAAGAGAAAACGATCGCGAGTGACAGCAGCAGAAAGCTTTGGAGAATTAGAGAAGAATTCTTTATTTTTTTTTCTTTTTCTTTTCTTGTGTAATTAATTCTATGATTATGTTATTGCACACTATGAGTGAGTAGTCTTTTATTCTAGTTACGGGGAAGTTGAACCCTACGACTTGACGATGTTTGATTAATTTACGTGGTTGATAATTTCAATATCTTTTTGGAATTGCTTGTGTTATTTTGAATAATTCACCATGATGTGTTAGTCTTGTTTAGATTGATCACCTAGATTAGGCTTTTCATATCTACATCTGAATTAGACCTGCAATCCGTAATTGTTGTTTTGTTTAATTCATAAGAGGTAACCGGAAGATGGTAACTACCAGGGATAACACGGCCTAATTAAGTGAACGAACGCGGTTGAGTTCACTAATTAGTCTAGCCTATTTTTCTAATTCGTAAAGCGGCTAATTGTATTAAATCTTAAAAACGTTTTTCCGGACTGTACAAGAAGCCAGGTTTAATCGTCGAGCGTCTCGCGGTTAAATTAAAAATAAGGAAAAATTCGGGTAACAGACCGTGTCGTTACCTAGGGATAGTAATTCCATGAGATAGCGAAATCTGATTCTAAAATTGATTAAACGAGTCAGTCGAGGGTGTAGACGGAACCGTGGACTAGATATTTCCCCATTTATTTGATAATCATCTTTATTTGCTGCATTTGATTTCATTCTATTATTCATATTTCTAGTAGTTAATTAATTCATACCAAAACCTCCCTCTTTTATTAGTATTTTCATGATTTCAATTAAAGAGAATAATTACAATTAAATTCCACACTCCCTGTGGGTTCGACCCTTACTCACTACTACTGCTAGTTGGTAAAAGTCAGTTAAGGAAAATATAAATTATAATTTTGCCGCGTTGCGACGCGCGGTCATTCACCCTGTGGCCCAAGCTCACAATATGAAAAAACAGAAGGGAAATTTTCACTCTTCCTGTAAGAATAGTAAGATATTGTATTTTTACTAGTGGGATAAATTTAATTGTATCTATACCTAAAATCTAGGATTTTATTAGAAGTATACCTCATGTAAATAACCATATAAATAAAACGCTCCATCCTTAATTATAGCTCCTTAATTATAGCTGACTCATAAGAGAGAGAAATGAAAATAAATAAATAACTGACTCATTTAATTCCTTAATTCGCGTAACTGGAATTCCTTAATTCACGCAGCTGTCAGGTGGTATATTTTGCGTTTATGTTAGTATATATTCAGTATATGTGTGCAGCTGGAATTCCTTAATTCCTTAATCCACGCAGCTTATATTTTACGTTTATGTTAGTATATGTGCGCAATGCTGGAATACCTTAATTCCTTATTCCACGCAGCTTATATTTTACGTTTATGTTGGTATATGTGCGCAACTGGAATTCCTTAATTCACGCAATTGTCAGATGGTATATATTGCGTTTATGTTAGTATATATTCAGTATATGTTGCAATCCGTTTATGCTAAATAGAAATTGATTTTATACATAAAAATTATGTCTCGCGATAAATTTCTTTATCATATATCGAAAATATACTGAATATGAACCATACATATACAAAAAAAAAAAAAAAAAAAAAAAATT